GCCAATAATATTACTTACTATGCGTTTTCATATTTATTCTTTAAACTATTTTTCCAGGATGATCTGGTAAGCTGAGGAAAGAGTTGGTTATTAAGAGCAGATAGTATCTCTCAAAATTAAGGTTTTCATATTCAAGTTGCATATAATCTCTTTGGGATAGTATTGATATCTCTGTGAAAATTCCTTCATTTCTCTAATGTCATCCTGAAGAATGTAAGAATAAATTCATAATGTCATTAAGCTCTAAGTAAAGAACATGGTCCCAGTGAAATTGAAGCAGTGTATTAAACAGTATTTTTGTGGCTGCGGCATATAGAGATCTGCATGAAGTATTCCATGCCTTACAGACATTATTACTGAAATGTATTTGATAGAAACAGTTGAGTTAGTTTCCAAACTGTAATCTAATAACACTGCCTCATTTACTGTCCAGCAGTTGTCAAATAAACAAGTACACATTCAAGGGAACGTGGGCAGCATGGGTACAGGAAATTTTTAGACATCCTCCCTCAGTGAGATAGATGAGAAACTCAGAACTGTAGAAAAAAAAAAGGCACTAATCAATATGAGCAAAAAGAGAAAAGAAAGGAACTTTGGTAAAGAGACCTAGTTTTTCCTTGAAAAGGTAAAGTAATAGTGATGGTGACATTGCTAATACTGTATCCACTAAAGTCAGTGTAATTCTTGCAATGAAGAGGAAAATTAAGCCCAATGACTTCTTAATTGACAGAAAAAAAAAAATTTAAAGAATGATGCCGATTTAATAATTTCATCTTTTTTTTAGTAATAATACTTGCTTTTGGCCAGAAAAGTTTAATAGCAGCACTGTGGTGCTCACTGCTTCCACAGCCATTTTTAATACAACTTCTGAAATCTAATTTTGAGACAAGTGACAAATCTATTTTTTGTGACAAGTATTTGTCACAGTGCATTGCTTTTTCAGTACCATGTGAGGGGGTTTGCCCAATCAGCCAAAAGCTTGGTGGTATATATTTGCTTATTTACTAATCTACAGATTTTATAAAGCAATCAATTCCTGTGGAGAGGATCAGACAGAAATTCCATTATTTCAAGCATTTGTCTATTTCTGAAGCACTTATGGGGATATAAATGGTTTGGTTTTTCACTGAAGGTATGTCATACCAGCACTGCAGGCTGGCAGCAGAGGTTACCACCTCTACACTGCTGAGTACTGTGTTTCTTTGTAGACTTCCTACTGATTTAAGGAATTAACTGTTTTTTGTTGAAGAGTCTGGTAAGCGTTCTATACTTTGTATAGACTAATTTATGCACAACAAGCTTCTATTGACCCAGTACACCCTAATGACTCCTCCTGTGCTACTGTGAAGTATCATGCCAGCAAAGCATGCATTATATGAGCTGAGGAGAAGCCATTTACTTGACAGACTAACGGCTCTTAAATAACCATAATGGCACCACGATCTGGAGTGTAAAGACCACTGAACTGATAGAAGTAGGAAAAATATTTATTACAAAGTCAATATGTTCGAACACAAAATCTGAAGAGCAGATGCTTGACTTAGACAACTGAAATCCACTACCCCTTTCACCTCAGGATCTCAAAACAATTTAAACCTTTAAATGGCTCCTTCACGTTTCATCTTTAAGAACAGGAATTAAGCTTTAAAATCAAATGTAATTGTATAAACCATGAGATTTATCCAGTACTTATCTCATGAACCTGAAAGTGTTCAAGAAATGTGTGGATGTGGCACTGAGGGACTTGGCCAGTGGCCATGTGGGGATGGGTTGGTCTTGGTGAACTTAGAGGCTTTTCCCAGCCTTTATGATTCAGTGATTCTAAATCTCTGCCTCTGGCTTGTAACAGCTGACCCAGCACTGTTACTCAATATAGTTTTATTTTAAAATAGTGTTTTAATTACAACATATGAAGAGGACTTGACTGAAAGCAATATGATAAATTGCTAAATAAATAGGCCTATAAATTAAGATAGGTCTATACATCCCACTGTTGTGGATGGGTTCAAGGGACCTGTACAGCTGTGGTTCACAGCCCTGAAAATGCACTTGGGATTCACAGAGTTTATTAGTAACAATATCCAAATGGGCAGACACATATTGTGATGTGAAGATTTTCTATCTGTAAGTGTGTGAGGTAAGTGTTAACTTTCAATCTTCTCACTGTCCTTTTTGCTCATTATTTCTCTTTGCTGGCTATATTTTTTTCGAGAACTTTCCACATAGAAATTTAAACTTCAAGTGTCATTACTTCACTGAAACTAATTTGTCCTTATTATTCCTCATTACCTTTTATCTTGTAATTGCTCTTTAGAGCTTCATACAATCTGCATATTACATTCCTCTAAGTGTGCTTTAGTAGTCCTGAATTTTTTATTTTTTTTTTTATAATCAACATGGTCAATATATACAAACGGTAAGCACCAACCTGATTTGCTATACGCAGTAATTGGATTCTGCGTTTAATTACAGGTGGTAACGACATTTTAAGCACCTTATACAGGTGTTGGGGGGGGGGGGGAAGGGAGGGAGGTTTATGAAATGTTAAGCAACGTTAAGAAAGTCTGAGCTTCTGGAGCAATGCCAAATTTCAGAGGTGCCTTTCAACTCCAAATTGCAGTTTTCATGGGAGGATAATTATAGCTCTGGCCACCTGGACCGCTCCTGCTGGAGGCAGGCGGAGTGAGGAAGTACGGCTGCCTGCAAGCCATGCTTTGCATCTTCCCTCTTTATCCTTTTTTTTTTTTTTTTTTTTCCTTTTAAATTATTCCGAATATGTTACAATTTGTATTCTGATCCCTAAAAATACCGCGTGGCCATCTTAGTTTTTAGTGTGTGTGTGTGTGTGTGTGTGTGTGTATGTTGTGCTGGTCAAAACCAGTGGCAGAACGCATTGTCATGAATTGGTAATGCAGCTGAGATGGGGTGACCTTGGAAAAGATACTTGAATTATATTGATGGCCTCCTTGATCTTGGGGGAGTTTTAATTCACATATAAAATTTCAGCCAGAGAAAATTAGACGGAGATTTGTTTTGGAGCTAATGAGAAAATATATGGCCAAGAAAAGGAGTTGCCTTCTCCTTCATTACTCCTGTAATGTAGGAAAGTAACTTTTTCCTAGCAGTGGAATTTAAACCTTAACATGTCCAAAAACAAACTTGTTTTTTTTTTGTTTCTTTCTTTTTAAAATACATTCATTTAAACTTAGACCATATAAAAAGACATTCTGTCATATTCAAGACTTGGATTTCTTTTATAGAAATCGAGAGAGGCAGCAGTTTCAAATGTCCTGCAGAACCCTAAATCAGTTTTTAATTTCCACTCCTTTTCTTGCCTTCCTACACAACCTGTGCTTATTAGCAAAAAAACCCAAAGGCTTATCCTGCTTGTGCCTGCTCTGTGAGGGCTGCCCATGCTCAGTGGATGGGTCAGGCTGTGTGAGCTGCCAGTCAGGGAGCTCAGGCTGTTCCCATTAGAAGATGCAGCTTTATTTCTGAGATAAATCTTAGTTTTTCATCTCTAATAGCATTTTCTGGTGTGAAATCCTGGCTTTAGTGACATCAGCAGGACTCTGAGGATATCCAATCTTCTGAACTGTTATTTAAGAAGCACATCATTATTCTGCTGTACTGCAGTACTTTTGCTTGCAAATAGATGTTACATCATATGCTGTTTGAGCAGTACATTGCTGCCTGTGAAATGTAAAAAGGAGCAGATATCTTAAAAGAACATTGCCAATAAAACTCTGAAATCAAGAACAGCTAAAGGTGAAGCTCACACTGGTACTTATATCTTGTTTGTCTGTACTGAATTAGCTAGCTGACCTTTCCTAACCATTATGATGTCTAGGTGATTGAAGTGCCAGAACTCAAATTTTATTTCTCCTTGTCAGACATCTGACCTCTGTCTGGATGTGTAGGTTTCCTTTACATTGTGTTTCCAAGATCCAGTACTTTTACAGGTACATGGCTCCTGTATTGTTAAATAGAGGAATGGAGAAAATCTATTCGGGGTCACTCAGAAATGAATCCATAAACAGACTGCAGTGCTTGGAGCTCACTATAATACATCACATTGCTTCACTCTATGCCATCACAGCACTCTTCCTTCTCCATAGTCAATATTGGAACAAACTTCATAGAATCATAGAATCATTTGAGTTGAAAGGGACCTTTGAAGGCCATCTGGTTCAACTCCCCTGCAGTGAACAGGGACCCCAGAGCTCAACAGGTTGCTCAGAGCCTCATCCAGCCTGACCTTGCATGTCTTTAAGGATGGAGCATCCACCATCTCTCTGGGCAACCTGTTCCAGTGCCTCTAAGTTAAAGGAGTAAATCAACTCTGGTTCCAGACTCTAAAACTTTGACTTCTGGCTGCCCTTCCATGTAATGGGACTAACAATTGACAATCTCCATATTGTTACCACTGGCATTAAGGGAAATTTACACTGCCTTCCACTCATCTGTCATTTGGAAAAACTGAGGACTCTTTGGGTGATGTGCTCTGGGAAGATTCTTTTTTTTACCAAATGATCAAAAATGTTCCCAATTTTTTTTCAGTGCTTCATGGGAAAAAGATATAAAATTAAATGAAAGCTGCATTTAGTTAAAGAGCTGCTTTTAAATCCCATTTCTCCCATTTTAATGAGAAGCCCTGTAAAATATTTTGGATAAATATCTTGAACAGATATTTTCTTTAGGATGTGGAATTGCTAAGTAGTTTTATTGTCTACATGAATGCTTGAGTACCAGCATTTCCTCTTTGAGATCCTTATTTTCATGTTTAAAACAGCTCAGGGGTTTCCATGGGCTATGGGGTCTGTCATGAAATGTGCTGTAATGGTCTGGGCTTTACTCTTTACAAGCTGGCGGATGGATTACAAATAGGAAAAAAAATATATCTATATTTGGCAGAGAAGATTTTAGCTGTTGAAGTGAATTCCACTAACCTGTTGTGACATTTTGATTTCTGTTTTTGTTTTATGTTCTGCACAGATGTGTAAGTTTCCAGCATACCCAGGATGTAGAGTAGAGCACAAGTGATTTCTGCCTTACCTCTATGGGACGGACAGCTGTTGATGAGAAGGCACTATATCATCTCACTGGTATGGTGGGGGAAAAAGAAAATTGAATGGGAATTGTTCCCCAGGTCAGGGGCACCCTTGGGAAGACATGCCTGCACATTGAAAAGCCATGCCCCTACCTTTCCCACAAGAGAAAAATAAAATAAAATAAAAAATAAATAGTGGTGTCACAACATGGCAATTTCTACTACCTTTGTATTTAATGCTTTCCCTTCTGTGCTCCCTTTACTTAGCTAGAAACCATTCTTCTCATCTTGGGCTGTAATTATGAATGTGTTTTGCAGGTTTTCTCAAATGAAAAATAATATTTGTACTTAAACTTTATATCTACAGAAAATATTTCAAGCTATTAGTTAAAAAACACAGGTTCTTAGGTGTAATGTGCACTGCTACTCAGTGTGAGCTTCGGGGAGGTGGCATTAAGACATAACGTGCAACAGGCATGGATCATTTTACCACTCTTTGACCTGGTGAATGAGTTGGGAGAAGTGCCTTTTGTAGAGCCTGTGTTAAATCTCAAAGCTGTCCTCACATGAGTTATGCTGCAGTGAAGTGCTAACTGGGCATAGAGTCCAAATGAGGCAGCTGTGGGGTTACAGTCTGGGGTCTCTGCAGGGTGTGAGAGAGCACACCCTATTGCCTGGCTTAGCCTGAGGCTGCTCTGAGAATGCAGTGACAAACTTCAGTATCCTTAGGACAGTTCTCACTCAGCACTGAACAAAGTGGAGGCTGGGAGAAGAGAACTCGAGCAATGCTCTCCTCCCAGTGCAGTACCAGGGTATGTTCTGGGCTTTGCCCTTGTTCATAGTTGATGAGGCAGCAAGAAGACAAGGTGCCATTAGCTTTTGGTTGAAAGGTCATACTGAAGTTATTTTCCTTTAATCTTAAGTACTTCAACCATAGGAAAGCAAAATAAAATTTAAACATCTGCTCTAAGCAATTCCCCTCCCCTGACTGTATCACAGAGAATGAAGTTAAACATTGAATTATATATAGAATAATTATTGCAAAATTGCTCAGACTGCTTTTCAGTCACTGGTGTCAATTCTCTATGTGAATGAGAATGAATTCTTCAGAAGTTTAGGAAAGGTAGGAAATGATTCTATAAATTTTAGTTTGCCATTAACAAGAAGCAAATGCCATTAACAAAAAGCCACTTAAATCAGCGCAATGAAGACGTGTTTATTGTGAAGAATATGGATAATCCTGTCCCAGCTAGTAAGTGTCTTGGGAGCATCAGATGTGCTGCTGAGCTACAGGTCTGAGATATTGCTATGGCTTATAGGTACAGACCTTAGATAGAAGCTTTCACTATCCTAAAAACAGGATAATGTCCAGTAGGCTCAGCAACAGAGCAAAAGGCTTTCCTTCACATTTGGGATGGATGAAGGAGCATACCTTGTTATTTCAGCTTAGCTACAGAATTCTCCTTAAGCTGCAGGAACCTGACTGCGTGGCCGAGCCTTTGTGACTTTGAGCATAAGCTGATGGGGTTTGCTGAGGCAAGGCTTGCCTTTTGAAAGAAATGCTGGCATTTATACGTGTGCTAAGTTTCGAGTGCCATCAGTTCTCACACTGGACTTAGGTTTATCCACTGAGGGGCTGTACAGTAAAGGAGAAACAAATCTAGTAGGATAGTCACCTGTGTGATGGTCAGGTGATTCAAAAATATTTGCTTAATCGGGTCTATAGGTTCAGATAGAGTACCTACAGATAGGTTCTGTGGTTATTTTATGGCTTTGGCCATTTTACTTGTTCATTCTGTCATGTAATTTTATTTTCTTTTAACTAATACATTGTATAAAATTATTTTCACATTTTATTCTTTGTTGATCAGGGAAGAAAAAAAAAATGTATCTGTACAGTGTTAACATGAATATTGACCGCAAGGTGAACAGGACCCTCTTTTTGTCAGAAACTTGCTTGTCAGCACGCTGGTGATAGATCAGATGTAAAGAAAATCACTTCTGCAAAACCAATTTGCTAAGGGACTTGTAAAATCCATTTTTAAAAAGTTACTGAGGCGAAAAAGCAAAGGACCAGCCAACCACATGTTTTGATCAGCTCTTCAAGGTCAAAAACTGCTTACTAATTCATCAAATATCTCACTGGTAGCACCGTTTGAAGAACAAACAACTCTGTGCAGATGTTCTACCTAATAACTCTAATACCATGGAAAGATGGCTAGGGTAGGAACAAACAGAATTTTTTACTTACTTCTGGCAGTGCTACAATCATAAGAGCTGTGGTCTTCAAAGCATTGGCAGCCCAGGTCTGTACATTGTCCATTGCCATTACAGAAAGCAGGACAGCGGAGAATGGTAAGGATTTCCTCCTGGGTAGAAGTTGGCTGGCTTCCAACATGAAACACTTCACCTCTGTGCCTCAGCACTCGTCTTTCACACTCATTTTCCAAAAGCGCTATCAGTGCCCTTACCCAGGCCACATCATCCTTGAGCTGCAGATCTAACATGCATATATTGATGGCCTCATCTATCAGTTTTCCCAGCAGAGCCTTACACACTAAGCCAATGGTGGAATTTGCAAGAATTTGGTGGCAAATCTGCTGAGCTTTGGCAGAGGTTAGGCCGCTGGGAGTGGGCCATCCCAGTGGGAGTTTTATCCGAATCCCTTCAAAATAATCCTCTGGGAAAAAATAGGCAAAGCTTTCCGTGTCTGTCTGGCTTGGGCTATGCAACGGATGAAGGGCTAAGTATTCAAAGTAGTTTTCTTGTCTTTTTGGTCTCTGCAGTTGTTCTGTTGGCTTGGTAAAGTTAAGGGAACTGTTGTTTTTCATGGAAGCATGATGTAAGAAGGGTTTTAATCGCTCCTCATGGCTACCTCGCTTTTTGGCTGATTTAGGGAGAGATCTTTGATCAAAAGACTTGGGCGACCGTTCCTCATCATCTCTTGAAGCAAACTCTTTGCCTGAGTGAGTGACAAACTCTGATGTAACATCCAGATATGGAATTGCAAAAGTGTAATCCACATTATCATAATGACAACCAGGAGATTGCATCTGAAAGGCATTCAGCGTCTTTAGCAAGGGCATGGACTTTGTGCTCTCCTGGCATCTGCAGTAATTTTTCCTCTGCTTCCCCTCTGAAGATGCTGGAGTTTTGTCAAATAAACTCTTCCCTGGAGGTATTCTGGTTTAAAAATACAGCGAGATTAGAGGGAGGAAACTTTCAACAAATTGATCTACACTGCTAGATAAACTTTCTTTCCCAAAGTTCAAGAATATATAAATTCAGTCTAACAAAGTACTTAAGAAAATGCTTAAATCTTTGTTTTCTTTAGTTTTTTATGCCCTTCTTGAGTTGTTCTGTACATTTTTGAGCACTAAACTGGAACTTTTTGGTAACAGATGCTTAAGTGCTTTGCTGGAGCAGTGCCTAATAGTGGGATGTCACTTTGCAGGACTTTTTCTAAGGTACAGGTTGCCCTTTGCATATCAGACATGAAATAAGACTTTGGATTCGTCTGGAGTGTGACTCAGATATAGCTTGGGGAATGGAGAATATTTCCTCTAAGAGTTGGATCTCTGTGTCTTTTTCTTTTTTCTTGGCATACTTCATTTCTGACCTCTAATGGCACTTTCTTTGAGCTTTTCTTTTGATACAAAGCAGTTTTCTTTTGATCATAGGGTTTGTATATCATATAATGAAAGGTGATTTTTTTCTCCTTTTTTTTAAATTTACTACCACTTTAATGATGGATGAACTTCTAGAGAGTTCAGTTTGAATAAAGAGCCGTGATTGAAGTTTCTCTGGAAATTTCGTGATCTTATTTGTGCAGTGCAAGAGGAAATCGTGAAGCTTCATAGAAAAAGATATGCTTCTTGTCTCAATAGTTGGCAGCACTTTATTTCCAGACAAATTTGAAACATTACCAAAAATGTAAATTATTTTGGCATCAGTTTTGTCTTGCAGCCAAAATATAGAGGGTTCAGGAAGGTTGAAAGCATTTGTCAACATTGTAAGACAAACCCTAGGTACTGTTGTGGAAAGCAGATTTGGCTTTATACAGTTTTGACAATATATATTGAAGATGGCATATGTGATGGGGATGTATGCCTTGGAAAGGCTTGAGGCCCTGATAACTCCTGTGCTTTCTTACAGGGAATACACTTCTGCAAGCTGGGAAGGACTTCTGCATGAGATAACTAAAGAAATGCTGCTTTTTCCTGCCCATAACCAAGGAAGATATGAAAGCAAATATTTCAAGGCGAATTGGATGCTAATAGAGAAGAGTGCCAAAGAGAATAGTGGTGTTTCTGATTTCTCTATAACTAACTGCAGAAAGTATGAAAAAAAATATTCTATCTACTTAACATATATGTTTTAAAATTTGTCTCTTCCTTGTTCACGTGCTCCTTAGAGACTGGGAGGCTCTGATATTATTTTATTGTTTAAATATTGCATCGGAAAGACAATGTTTAAAACAGATCTGTTTTCAGCTGCTTGGGAAAGGAGGGAGCCAGTGAACAAAGTGAGCTATCAGATGGTGAGCAATCATCCTAGCTTCAGGTGCTGCAGAAAACATAGCGTGCTTAGTGTCATTTAAAATGAAATTAAAAGCAGCAGCAGTACAGTGACCCTCCAGGCTGTATTTTTTTTGCATCATTTCTCCGTTGGTGGATCAGAGACCGATCTAGTCTCTCCTGGATGTAGTAGTAGCCTTTCCATTGGCTTAGTTGGTTTTTGAATCTGGCTCTGAAGAGTCCTTGAGACTCCATCTTTGGCAGTACTGCAAAATTAAACTCATTGCCTCACTTGCCCTTCTCACATAGCTGCAGTTTCCCATACCTTTCCTGAAGGTACCTTCCATCACATGTGCCAAGCACTAGTGCGTTCCTTGCTGTTTTATAAGTGACTTCCTGTATGCTCTGCTCTGGCTTCTGATCTTTCAACAAACTTGTTTTGAACAGCTGCTTGTTAGCCTATCTTCAAGTAGGAAGAAGTTTGTCATTCTTGCACCAAACTGTTTGTCCTTTTGCCATCCCAGAAGCAAGCCTGATTCATCCTCACAATTTTAAAGCATTAGAGATGGCTGTTGATTTCTAAGTAGTGCTATGTAGGCTGGTCGAATATATCTAGAATGTGGTTGAAGTATTTGCTCATTTTCTGAGCAAATTTTCTGAGTCTAAAATCTGTTGCATTTATTGTGTGCTAAGTTCCCATGCGCAGATTAAGTGGAACATTAAGTTGCATACCTAGCTATCAGACTACAGTTAGGATTTGATCCAACTGTGCCAAGTTTTCACACACATGTTCTTCCCACGTTGAATTGAAATGACTATCACAGCACGAGCTGATCTTGAGATATCTTCACAAGTAAACATAACTGGCCACATCCACCTTATTTGTTTCTTATTTGAAAAACACCCTTCACAAGCAAACATACACAGCCAAAAAAAAAAAAAATTCAGTTTTGGAAACACCTTTTAGGAGTGTTTTGAGTTCAAAAATATGGAATTAAAGTGTGGACTCCTGATTTTGGTTCCAGACAATCTCTCTCAGGAATTTCAAGGTTTTTGAACCTCCACCATCATCAGTGGAGTAGATATTAACTTTTAGCATGGTACATATATTATCACACTCTGTCAAAATGTAACATTTAACCTATACTCACATATTGCAATTAGTGTTCAGGAATAAAAGAACAAGTGAAATACCAAACCCTTAATTAATCCCTATTGTCAATTATCTACATTTTCCACTGCAGGTGAGAACTGCATCCTTTTTTAACAGCTGAGTGGGATCTTAACACAGCTGTTAACTTGACATGACTCGTGAATATAAAACTTCTCCTTGGTAACTGCTGATTCTCATTGTGCTGACTGAAAAACCAGCCACCATGCTGCTTGGATGATAATGGGCCTCCAGGCTTTCCTTGTCTGATGAAGCTGATCTCTATTCCAGGTAATTAGGGGTGTACATAATGAAATAAGTGTATCAGCATCCTTGGAATAACTGCTATAGGGCATCACCCAGCCTGTCATCCTTTCTCACTTTGTACCTCCACTCCTCTATGAAGTCTTCTTCAGGCACATTGTTCAAGTCGTTGTGACCGATCCCATCAAAGAGGCCACACAAACCTCTGGTGCTGTTGAAGTCACTGCTTGGTATCCTCACTGTCAAGCCCATTCCCCACTCGCTCACATCGGCTCGAACGAACGCTCCTGAAGGGAATAGGATCTGAAGGGACAGAAAAAAACAGTGAAGCCACTACTGAGCATTTTTATGCAATTAAAAGTGTCCCTTTCTATAAATGAAAATCTCAGGGCAGAAACTTGGTGATGCTGGTGGTTATTTAAGATCACTTAGATGCATTAACGACTATTTATTTGTGCTATTATTTAACTTGTTTTCAGTTCTCATGTTGCTACCATCTGACAGTGTTACACAAACATAAACCCGCATAAGGACTTCCTTTTTAAAGCAATAATTAAATTCTTTGAGATTTTCCCACTGGTAGGTTACAAGATAATTTTTGAAGCGACTTCCGTGACAATAGGCCACCCTCGTGTCTTTGCCAGGAAATCATTTCTTTTAGATAAACTGCCAAGTATTGAAAAACAGCTTTCTTCCCTCTGAAAAATCGTTTCATTTTCCAAGGCTGGATTACCCAGAAAATGATTGTGTTTTAAAGTAGATAAAGCAATTTTCTCATTAAAGAACTTCTGGTAGGCTTATACTGACCTTTAAAAGAAAAAAAAATGGTGAGGGTAAGACAAAGAAGTAGCTGTGCAGATAATGGATTTTTCAGATTGGTGGTCCAAACAAATTTAAAAAGAAAAAAAAGGAACAAATCTGTTCAACTGCATTGTATTTTTGTTTGCTTGCTTTGTTTTACTAGGTAAGAAGAAAACGATTGTGAAATTGATCCATACTGGGAGTGGGAGGAGGAGTTCTCTATCCGGATAAGTAACCTTAATACTTTCATCCACAATTAAATGTTACCAGTTAATTTTGAAAAGCACATTAAATGGTTGGAAACATCTCACTACAATGATTTCTAAATATCTTAGTTTTTTTAAATCACTCCTGGCTGAGAATAATTGATTCAGCCAAATAATGCCCATTGCTTTTTTCTGTATTTTTTTGGTCCTTTATACTCTCTTCCAAACCGAGCCTACTAATATCTGCGAGAAGTGAATAACTTTGTATTTCTGTGCTGGAACCCAGATTTACATTTTGGCTGCAATAAATAACAATCTTATTCATTTGAGCTTCTCAGCCCTCTTTTCAACCAGGAGAACACTTTTGTGGAGCTTGAGACCTTGGCTGTATGTTTTGCTTTCCAAGGGAACTTAAAGAGCCAGTTGTTTTAATACATAGAGCAGAACAACTGCAGCTGACATAGTGTTGGGCAGTGTTTGTTTTCCTCCTTTTGAAAAACCTTTGAGTTATGTGCTTTCCTGCTGGGATGAGCATCTCCCACAAGGCCATCTATGAAATCCTTAAGGTCAAACCTGCTGTTTCAACCTTCTGTGCTGTGTGAATGGGTATTTCCAGGTGGATTTATTTTGAGAAGTCCATAGCCCTTCCTTTCCTGCTGCCCTTGGGCAAGGCAAGCCATCTGCCAGGAGGAGCTGACCACAGCCCAGGTTTTCTTAAACCACCTGGATTTAAAACTGTTGGCAGGAACTCTGAAGAAGATTTTTTTGAGACCTCAGTTTAAAGAGAAGAAGGTGTTGGGCTGCTGAAAACCACTGCAGAAAGGAGTGATGCTAAGCAAATGGAGGTACACTGCTCATGGTGATAACTCAGGGACCATATTTGTTGTCTACAATTCCATTCAGATCAGGGCAGCATTCCTATTTAAATACCAGAGGTGTCCTAATTTATTTTAAACACAAAGGAAATCAGTGAAACTTACCTGAGGTGCAAATGAGTATAGGGTTTCTTGCTGCAATTATTCTAGTAATAAAACAGTAACTGTATTGCATTCAGTTGCAAAATGAAATGACAGCTTGCTTTCTGTTTTTTCTCTATTCTGTAATTAACAGAATTTCAATTACTACCTCATCAAGATCTTTTCCAAGAGATTGCTAGGACAGCCAAACACAGGCAGTCCCTGGCAGCGTTCTGGCTCTGCTGTGAACCTATCTTCACCCAAAATATCTCCTGGCAATAAATCTTGATGATAAAATTTTAGGATAAAAATTATCTTCCTGGCTGTAATTTCCCCCCTCTTCTCCCCACCAAACCCCTTGGTACAGCCCACTCTTATTCTTCCAGTGATTTCACTGGATTAGCGTGAAGAAATGATGCAAAATGCATCATGCAAAATTTGTTATGGTCAGATAAGGTTTTTAGGCAAATACTTTAAATTATAGAAAATGTTGCACATTTGCTGCCCATTTTCATGGCTTTTGAGTGCTGTCTGTATCCGGCTAACATTGCCTTGCTCTTTGTCTAAGACCGCATTGTTTTACCTGTGAACCTTACTTCAATGTCTATATCGTAAAGCTCTGAAACAAAATTTGCACTGTGGGTTCAGTAGTACCTAGCATGAACGAACCAAGAGCAGTTTGGTAAGCAGCAATACTGGCACTCTGATGCATCTCTGAGAAATTTCTGGAAATCCTTGTTTAGTTTGTTTTACAGTTGGTTAAACCAATGCTTCCACCAGCTTCTTCCCCATGTCTCATTTTCCCGTACATTTTGCTGCAGATGCTCTCATGGCTTCAGATGGATACTTTTCGCAGCAGCTTCGTTAATGATTCAGAAATATTTAACTCACGTTTTTGACAACGACAACAACGGGAGTACTCAAATCTCCACGTACTGTTATCTTTCTCCCTCCGTAGGACGTTAGGATTTTGACCTGTGGTGATGCCTCAGTACTTTGGATGCTGAGCTGCGGCCTGCTGTCCCGAAAGTGCCCATTGCAGGCATCCAGGCGGACGACGTCGCTCCCTTCCCATGCAGCCACCCCACAGTTGCAGGCAGTAGCAGAGTGGTGTCCCCCACAGTCCCACTGACGGACGTGCACTTTGAATGCCCGTGACGTGCTCTGGCACAAAAGGAAGGTGCCAATTTTATAGTTATCGTAACGCCTAAACAAGGAGAAACAAAACCAGGGTTTAGAGACTCATTGAATCCACATGGAGCAGATGTACGAGCCTTTCCAGCACCTGCCTTGGAAAGGCCTGGACGTGGAAGCATCTCTCCAGTACCATGAGCAAGATGATGCAGTCGCTGTTATTAATTGGGAGTGTAGAAGAATTCTTGAGAAAACCTGGTTGCTGTCTGTGAGCTGCTGCTATGGCAACGGGCATGGATAAAAAGGATAAACAATTGAAAAAAGCAAATGGGAAGAAATTCCTGCTCCCAGGACTTTAAAAATATGTTTTGGTTCTAACTGGATGCTGTACAGCACAATATTCTTCAAAGAAAAATCAATGCACAGATAACCTCATATGCGACTAACTACTAACTTTTTCTAGTCTGACTGTGTCTGGGCATTTTATGTGAATCACAGAATCATAGAATGGCTTGGGTTGGGAGGGACCTCAAGGATCACGAATCTCCAACCCCCCTGCCACATGCAGGGCTGCCAACCTGTACATTTAATACTAGACCAGGGTGCCCAGGGCTCCATCTACCCTGGCCTTGAACACCTTGAGAGAGAAGGAGGAGCTACAGCTGAAAGCCCTTGAAAACAAACTTGGTTCCCCTCCCAAGAATTTCATTGTAACTATTGCTTCCTCTCTAAATGGATTGTCAGCCAATGTATTGCATGATGTGGAACAATCCTCTCATTCTTCTCTCTATGAAATTCCTTGCTCTAACTGAGCAAAACAATTTTGCAAGTGTTTCCCCTCTGTGCAGGTCTGATACAACTTCTAAAATAGGACCTTCAAGAGCATCCCTCTCTCCTTGTTCTTCTGTTTCCTCATACCGTGACCTCGTTTGGCAGTTACTCTACTTTATTGCCATGTGATGTTTAAAAGTAAAGAAAATAGGGGCTGTATTTTTTATATATGTGGTTGGAGATTTCTCCACATAAGCCAACAGCTGCCATCTGTGAAAGCTGCAGGTTCTTCTGCTTCCTTTTAAGGCACTGCACTTAGTTTTAAACTTCATTTTTAGGAAAATAAGTATAATGGAAACTAAGTCATAAGCATTTTTGTTTTTTTCCAGTAAAAACGAAAATGTAAAACTGAACATTAAAAAAAAAATCAACCGCTAAACTGAATAACAGGATTATTTTTAAGCTATGTCATAAAAACATCGATAATTTTTCAGTCAGTGAATGCTTTCTGTACAGATGAGAAAATAATTTGTTGTATTTTGGCTCAAGAACAAAGAATGTTTAACATGCATATATCTGAATTTTATTTCTCTCTAGAATGAAAGCCATAGAAAAATATGTACCTGAAAATGCAGCAAGAATTTAAACTCCAACTGCTTTTCTCTGCAAGAAACCACATTTGACATTATACTTCATCTTGAAAAACTTAGTGAAGTTGGCCGTAAAATGATATGATATTGAATGGTTTTGCCTCATCTTATTTTCTAATCAGGTACATAAATCCTAAGTACGTTGTGCAGATGCTGCTGCTAAGACTGATTAGAATTAAGGGCAACATAAAAGATAGTCTTGTAAAATCAAGTGCATTTGGACTTCTACACTGGAAAGACTGGGAAGCCAGAAATTTAACAAGGATCACCTTTCTCAGTTTCCTTTGACCAGACATTTCAACAGGAAGAGCCTAGGAGGAAGATGTTTAGAGAAGCTGATGGAAAATAATGCATTGAAATGGCTGCATCCAGATTAATCAGGTATATCTGGTAAATAAGACTGTATTAGCATATACATTCCAGCAATGGGAGTTATTTACTGCTTAATAAGCACTGACAGTGGAGCCAGTCCAACGCTATTGGAAGTCACAGTCCTTCAGTTAAGTCATGACAGATTGTACAGCACATAACAAACTTGTGACGGTGTCTAAATTGGAGCTTTCAGCTGCCTTTGAATTACACAAATGGATAATTGAATGTAATCAGGTAAACTTTTGTGGTTTTTATACAACTGTAATTGCGATAATGTTTCTTTGGACAACATTTGAGAAATCAAATTGCAGATTTGTGGAGCTAAAATCATGAAGTTATTGGAGGTCTTGCAAAAGGGGAGCTATGCATATTTTTGTGCCCAGGCACTATTGCTTGTTTCTGAATTACTTTTCATAGTGCACTTCCCATTCTGCTTCCCTAATTGCTTGTAGTAAAGTACTGGATGTGGCTTCTTCCCTCCTCACGTATGTATTTTTCAAAGAGTGCATCATGTTCCTGCCCTGAGGTGAATTCATGTCTCAAATTGTGCACTCAAACCAAGGAAGTAAATAAAAGTACTCCTAAGTCTTTTGTTATGTCTGTGAGATGCTGTAGGAATTGTTTCTGTTGGTTTGTGATAAGAAGGAAGTACACAAGAACCTTACTATTAGTAGCAGTAGAATAACTAATGCAATATGCTATTGCCACCGAGTTATCTTTATTATGAATTCACTTGTTACTGGGGCTTCACCTGAAGTTTTTCCTCCAAAGTTTTGCTTATTTGTTGATGTTTATTTGTTGACACATCCCCCAAGACTACCTCTTTCCTTACAAGTAAGAAGTACTTTACTCTAGTTGTGACCCCAGGAAGGACTGGCTGATGCTGAAGGATGTCCTCTGATTCCAGAGCTTATCAGTAAAGACTGGTGGCATTGTTCTCAGAGACTGTTGAGTTATCTTCAGCAGCCATTGGATCCTTGGGCAATTTCTACAGGCTACCAAGAAAGAGCAATACTTCTATGAGGGCTGATCATGACCAGAACTTATCTGTGGGCTTCTGTAATGAATGCTGTTAAAAATGAATGCCAGCCACAAGCATGAAGCCTTACAAGGCAGGGATTTGTCATTATGAGGAAATGGTGTCATTCTTTCTGTTACAATATTGATGGATGGTTTATGTGTGTGAGAAATCTTTTAAAAAGTTGTTGGTTTTTTTAAGGTAAGATGCAATATAATGTGAATGATATATATAGTTTGCGAGGAATATTTCCCTTTTTATATTCTGCCTTACAAGGATTTTCTCCATATTTAGTTTTAAGCTAATACTTCACTTTACATTTAAGAACCTACAATTTATGTCAGGAAAAGCTTTTATGTTTATACTGTGCCATAACTAATAATGAAGGTTATGCTTTTGCTTTACCAGGCTTTCACATTTGTTTAATTTAGAAGTTACTTTACTATAAAAGGAAGAGCTCTCTCTGGATTTTAGCTAGTATAATTAATGCTGTTTCACACTGATGCACCAATATACAGAAATTGATTGTGCTCACATGAAAAATACAACAGATTCTTCCTTAATTTTCCATCTTTTCTTTTGGTCAAAGGAGTAAAATAATGACAAGATAAATATTTCTACAGAAGCATACCAGTCAGAAGCACACCAGCCAGAAGCACACCAAAGGGAAGTGCTGTCATTAGAAGTGTGAGTTTGGTATTTCAGTCATGCAATGAACAACAAACTATCTCAGATGCACTGTGAGTTCAGTAGGTCAAATTAAAAACCATTTGAAAGTATATCTATAGATGTTACAAAATGAACTATTATTTGGAATCCCAAAGGTTGAATTTTTCTATTTTTCTGTCTGCTTCCATTCTTGCTTGCCTCCATTGTGTATCTTCCCTTCTCTTTGCCATCTTTTGGTGGAAAAATCAAAAAAGGTAAGCAAACCTATGAAAGGCAGGAATGTGTTTATGTTTTGCCTATCTGAGTAACAAACACTTCTACTGCTTTGCTTTTTGCAGTGTTCCCTATTTACATACATTCTCTTGCTTACCATATGACAGGTTTTCCCCAGGACTCCGCAGAGAGAGGATGGAAGAGGTGCCAAAGAGGCAACTGATGGCCATCCTGCCACAGCAGCAGAGCTGGTAAGCTGACCTACAGGATGCTAGGTGGAGTGATTTCCCTAGGTTACACTGCTTACTGGTTGCTCTGCTATTGACCTCAGAGGCAGTTTTGGTAGTTTCCCACTACATACTCTCTCATGACGAAGGGAAATGCTTCACATCCATAGCTCTGTGTCAGCCTTTGTCTATGAACTGTAAGTTTGTACCCTGACACATACAGGTATTGCATTCCCCACACCCCATATACAGCGTTTTAAAATCGTTCCTAACAACATTTTTTTGGATAGGCACACAGAGAAGTTGCTTAACTGACAACTAATAGGGTAGCATAATCATTACAGTAATTGAAACAGATATTATTTACAGTAATAAATGGGAATATAAGTAGGAGTAATGGGACTGTGAAATGATGGGTAAGAAACTTGGCTGAGTATCAAGAAATGATATATCTTTGTGAAATAACCTGGTTATTGAGGTGGCTCATTTAAAGCTACTCTGGGCAGAGCAGTAATGAATGTCCACAGTGAAGAAATGTGTGGTTATTGAAGGGCCAGGTGTTCCTGGGTCTTTGCTACCTCAAGGCAAGATGCCACAGAAGGATGGGTGCTCCCAAACTCCCTGTGCTCAAATGGAATTGTAAATTGCTTGGAAGCATTTCTGTGTACTGTCAGTAACAGGGTTCCAAACTCAGCTGTTCAAATAAAATTTCTCTATATTACTTTAGACCTTTTTTTCCCCATGGAAGCTATGTGAAAATATTCTACATGGCTGAGAGCATTCCACCATGCCAAGAAGTAATTTTATGACTTCCTAAACATGATGGCTTGTTAGGTCCCTGTCCGGTCCTGGCCCTAAATCAGAAGGGAACATTTTACAAAACAAATGTTTAGAGAGTTCTAAAATAATATTCTAACTTTTTTTTAATATGTAGAGTTGAAATAATGGCAGATACCAAGAAGCATGTGGATATCTGTGTGCCACTCTTAGTTCTTCCTCAGCTTCTTTATGTTTAGAAATCAAAAGCTTGACCACATTATAGACGATATGCATCAAAGGAGGGCAAATGGAAAAGTGTGCAGAAGTAATCTCTTGGCTGAGACTATTCAGTTTAGGCAACATCTTTCTTTGAGGCAATTGTGTAAGCCTTTAAAGGAGCCACTGTCCTCATTTAATCAAGAGATTTCCTCAGTTTTAACGTCATTTTAGAGTTCGTGTTCTGGTAAATACATGCTGCTGCCTCCAGAGCATGCTGGATTGAAACTGGGACATTAGAATATCAAAATTAGAATATCACTCCTGCTGAGCCCCTGTGGACGCTGTGCTCATAAAGTCATTATCTGTGCCATTAGGAGGTTAATGGCAGAATGACAAAATGGAATGTGATCTGAAATATTAGTAACTTCGATTCAAACGTGCCAGATGCAAACTTTAAAAACTTTCTGTTACACGGAATAGCTAAGGTTCAGATTTTTAAAAACACAGGGTACCACCTTTGGTTCACTAAGTCTCCAAGCAGCTTATGCAGGAGGATGCTGGACAAGACAGAGGGAAGTAAAACTATTTTTGCAACTTTTTGCACACTTTCCCTGATATCTGCCCCTCACATTCGCCGAACTTCTTTTATCTGAGACAATACATCCCTTTTTATCTACTTTTTTCTGATTGTGACTGTGACTGTCAACTCCATGCAGAGGTACAGCTGCAGATTTGGTAATCCAAATAGATAGGAAAATACAAAAACATCCTTAAACTGAGGGAATTTTTATCAGGAATTACTAAATTCCTACCAAGGACACAGGCTGTTCCCACTTGTGGTCCTAACACTGGGACATAATGGCTCACCCAAGTGAAACAGTGGTACCTCTAACACTATGCCACCTGGAATAGAAACCCTCCTGAAGTCATCAATGACACTTTTGTTTAAAGAGCAGTTTGGAGCCTGACCTTGGCCTTATAAAAATTATTCATTCTCAAAACCATTGCAATTTCAAGATTAATCCAATTCCAGTTCTTTTGTTAAAAAGAATATAAACAGCTGAAAGGAAACCATGTGTACTACTGAGGCACAACATTAATCTATATAAACAAACTAATACAACACTCTTTTGATATTCTAATGCAAAACCAAATGCATTCTATATCCAGAAACTGAAAACTGCAGTAATTGAGCCAAATTATTTCAAAGCAGAATACTCACCATCCATCAAACGTGATAATGTGTGGATCAGTGAAAGAGTAGCAGTTCCCTGTTGGGAGGTCCTGAACTGTGACCTAGTTAAAATGAAATGCGTAATGAATACAGTCTACACAGCAGTTTTTCTTCATTACCACTCCTCACAAAACATTAGGAGCAAGATTCATGTGTCAAGTACAAACTGAAATCTGACTTCTAAAACATGATTGCAGGTGGGTGCAAAATAGGGTTCGCTTTCAAGCAACTGCATTTAGTCACATGTAATATGGGAGTTCAAAGGGCTCCCATTGTACTCAACGTAGTGTGCTGGCTGGTGAAAAGAGAAGCTTTTCTGATAAACTTTTTTTTTTTGCGAAGAAGTAGATCATTCTATGACATTATCAAGAGAGTAGAGTGCTCGTTAAATTGCACTAATTTTAATGCCTGAAGTGCGGTAGAAGGTATGCTGTAATTAAGTAGCATTAGCATATTTTAGCAATAGTCGCTGTCTGTCCCCTAGTTTGACCTTCAATTTCCTGATGCAGCACATGAATGGCTGATTTATATATTTGATGTGCACATTATTGATTGGGTGCTGGTGGTGATGGCCCAAACTAGGCTGGTGGAGCTGTCGGCATTTGGCACCTGAACAAAAGAGGAAAGGATCTAACAGAACAACAATCTGCAGCATAAACCCATTGTAACTTGGACATAAACTGGGCCACAGAGGAGACCTAAGAGTCCTGGTGACATGCAAGAAGCAGATGTGTCTATAAAAAACAGAGATCAGGCAAATCCCTTTGAAGTCACAACTCTGAACCTTGGGCCATGCTGGGCCTGCACTGCCTCATTCACTGGAGATGGCACTTTGTCAGGGCCATATACTCTACTATCCAGTTCCCAGAAATGCAGAACTGGGGTATACAGTGATTTGCAGTATGAAGAGCTCCCAGTCACACTGATAGAAGTGATGAAGTGTTATGGTTTTCCCATATCCAGCCTGCCAGCCTTATTTCTTGGTCAGGGCTGTTAATTCCTTGCTTGCTTGCTTACTGCCCATGAGAAATCCAGAGGCGCAATTCAGTTAGTACTGCCACAGTCTGCAGAGCGAGTAAGAAGAATGGCCACTATATCCTTGTGCAACCTTTTAGTGATAAAGCAGAATTTAGCTTTTAGGAACAGTGGTGAAATTAAATAAATGAATAAAAGGGTGAAGATAGAAGCACAGTAGCTGATAAAACTCCTCACCTGAGGCAGTACGTCATCTGTGTTTCAAAATGTCCCTTAACCATCACACAGAGACACTGCTTAGACACCCACAGGTGTCTGGCATCCCAGACTATTAAAGTGATTGTCTGGAGGAACGAAGGACTGAACAGCTTTTTGATCTGAAATCAATTGTATCATTTGTATTTACTGGAGTGAAGTAAAGAATTATCTCTGAATTTTCCCATTTTCTCCATGTCCACAACCTTCACTGCTCTGCTTTTTTCTTGCATGGTAGCAGCAAAGGATATAAGTCTTAGTCACAGGCAGCCTCGTTTGCTGAAGAAATCATTTTTCTTTTCCCAAGTGTCTGAATTTGCCAGGATGTTCTGCCCACCATTTCCATTCCATTTTAAGATAAACAAAGCATATTTGAAAAGTCTGAAGCACTAAATACTATGTGGATTTTAATGTATGGATTTCTCCTTGATGTGTTGCAGGAACAATTTTACATTAATGCCTCTAATTAAGTGCAAAGCAGCAGTGGGGAAATGGAGGAAAAGGGAAAGTTATGTTTATTATGTATCCATAGATCAAATTTTAACTGAGATGGATGGAATTTATTATTAAAATTGATTAATTCCATTTCACATTTGCTGCATTTTCATATTTTAATGGAGAGCATTCTTAAGTTACAAGAAAAAATATGAGTATGTGAGTGCACTACATTGAATTAGCTGCAATTTCTGCTCTAAGAATCCTTGAAAGTGTGAAAAAAGGCTGTGCTGGAGAAGAGGGAATAAGCACATGCAAGGCATTTCACATTTCAAGACAAAAATTCCTTTGGTCTCATTATCTTATCCTACCATGAGTAAATCCACCAGAATCAGGGCAGTGAACTTACAGATTTAACTGGGGGCTTATTTTCAGTTCTTTCAAATGCACCAGCTTGGACATGCCAGTGCTCTGAGAGTTTTAGCTGAGTCAAATCTACCTCCTTTCTCATTCCCCTGGGCCGTGGGATTAAGGCTCTCGGAGCTCCCAGCTGTGGCTCTGAACAGCTCCATGGACAGTGAGCCAGCTCCTGCTCGTCACGCTCCTTGGCCAAGCTCCCTGTGGGGACGGTCTGCCTTGCCTCTGTGATTGATTCCCATTATCCTTCCTTTGGACATTTTGTGCAGGGATGAGTGAAGAAACGGAGTGGCTGTGTGTGTGGTGTCACGGTGATTCTTGGCACGGTCACAAATTGAACATGGCACTGCCAAGTCCCTTTCCTTCTTTCCACTTCCAAGGCACTGCCTTTCCTCTGCTTTTCTGGGAGCTGTTCTCCAAACCACTGTCTGCTTGCACGTATAATTCATCTGTTGGCCTACTGATGAGCTCACTAATAATGAAACCTAAATCTATTGAAGCAAAAGGCTTCACTTGTTAGTTTTCACGGCATGTATAGAAGTTGTGTTGTATTGTGTTGGTTTACAGTGGTCCCCAAATTTTTATGTGGTTAAGGTTTACCATTGCCTCATTTTATCTGCTACTACACCTCCAATTTAAATTTGACACATTATTCAAACTAATTTAGGACCCCACCTTTACATCCTTCGAGGCGTGAGCCCTCCAAAGCACATCTCTGTGTCCAACTGGCTCGGCTCTGATGTAGCTGACGCGGTTCCCATCCTGAGCGAAGTCGGTGACGGCTGTCACTGTTAGTACAGCTGCTGCACAGCTGCCTTGTGAGCAGGGCGCCGGCACCAGATCCACCTGGCACGCTGAGAGGACAGTGTTTGGGGGCCCCAGTAATTGGCTGTCTAAAATGAACATGAGCACTGAGTCTGACAAGAGGTATCCAAACAGTCACCCATCCCCATCCAACACAAATGTTTCACATTCCAAGACACGTGTTGAAACCAGATGGGTTTTTCACGAAGACGGTTATAATTGACTCAATCCAGCAACTCTTAGCACATTTTACTCTTTTTTTTTTTTTTTTTTTTTTTTTTTTTCTGTAGACAGCGTACTGAAACACATTGATGCTTTTTTCTTTAAACAGGTGTTAATATTTCTGGAGTGAAAACCTTATCTTTAAGGACCCATGACACGGAAATGAAGATGAGTTGTTCTTGTGACAAAGAAAGAGATGAATCTATGCTTCTGGAAAACATCTTTCACTCGCTTTATTATAACAAGGTATGAACTGGAGCTATTTAATTTAAGATATAGAGAATTTTTGATGTGGAAAGGTAGGGTTTTCAAGTCAGCTCTTAGTGAACTTTATATTCATCACAGGAAGATAAGTGCAGTACATTTAGATAAGTAACAGATTTTCTCTTTTATTTCGTTATGTTAGATTATTGTGCTTTACTATCCAATCTGTAAAATATCAAGGTCATGAGGTTAAATTCACTAAAAATCTATGGAAATGCCATGAGTTATGGTGATACTAGCTATTTAAGTATCTGTGATGCTGGTAAAGCGATGGACACTAAAAAATATGGGGATGGCAATTCAAATCATTCACACAGCTTTGCACGCTGTATTTTTCCCAAAGGAACCTCTTCTAGCAGCAGGGCTGGTAGTGTCCATTTCCCTTGAGTCTTGATCCTCCATGCTAAGGTCCCAGGGAAAGGACAAAAGAAAAGTTTTTTCTTTCAATGACTTTGTTATTATTATTTATGAGCACTGAATTATGATAGCACGGTCTATATTTTGGATGATGTCTATCTGATCATCAGGAAGTCATCCAACTATGAATTCTCTGGTGGGTAAAGAAAGAAATAGCCACCTTTCCAGCCTACCAGAATCCCACTACTGATTTCAGGGCAGCCAACATTTGTGTTGAGCATTTACTTTTCTGTTCCAGACCAATAATTATCAGCAGATAAGAACAGTTATAGAAATTGTGGCAATGGAATGAATCTGATATGAAAATAAATGATTTCCATATGATTTTTCCAATTTGTTGAATTGCTTAATAATTTATAGGAGGTGGCATTCAAGTACATTAGGATGGTATATCTAATAAGATCAAATAGTCAACATTTCATTCCTTATGGAAATGAACCATAAAGCCTAATTGAAATTAACCCTGTAGAGGTCTACAGGATCTGAACTAAAAGCCTGCAACCATTAATAGCATATTATCTCTTATTCCCAATCCTTAAAGGATGCCTTACATCTTATAGAAAAATCCTGGCTCATTTTCAAGGTTCTTGATTCAATTAAATTGGAGATTTCTATAAGGAATAGTTATTGCCATTACTTATTACCTTATGAGCTCTGCTTACAACCCAGAACAAAAGTTTAAAATCAAAGAAAATCATCTTGTCAAAATAGCAGTGATAAACTTAACAGAGGCTGAACTCCAGTTGATCTGCTGTGTCTTGGTATTCATTATGATATTGTCTGAACTTGGAGAGATATTTCCGTGCTTGTAATTAGCTTTCTTATCACTTATTCCCTACATAATTAACAGAATGGTGTTGTTAGATGGATTCAGTCAGACAAGGAGATTCTGTGTTAATTTACTCAGTACAAATGAATCTCAACTGAAATTGTTTTTATTTCCAATTTATAACACCGTGTCCAACATGTTATGCTTTTCAAAAGCCCACAGCATTCTTTCAGATATACAAATGGACCCAACAGATAACAAAACCTGTGATTGTGCATGCACCCAGTAATACGTATTCATCCTTAAGTACATGCAGATATACCATTAAACACCAGCTTAAGTGTGAAGCGTAGAAGCATCCTCAGGGTGGAGTAATGAGAGGTTAGAGTTGGTCATTAGTTTAAGCTACAGAAATGTGTTGATTAAACTGATGGAAATTTGCCTCTTTAGTGACTAGCTCCTGCAGAGATTATTTAATTGGTTGAGTTGTCTCTCTATCCTGGCATGTCTTGGCAGCAACACATCATGCCCACTGACAACCTGAAAATCTGCTTCTGCAGATCCTGCCTCACCTCTTTCTCTCAATGAAATGCATACTGTAAGACTGGAAAAGACTGTGGCAAGGGATCAACCTCAGTCCAATCTGCTGTACTCAGAAATTACCTTTATTGTTTAAGTGACTAATTCTCATTTGATCCCTGTAGGTGTGATTGTTGCTTGGAGTTCTCAGGGCTATCCCACCACACAGCAGCCTGCATTCTCAGCTAACTCCATATCATAGAAAATCTGTTCCCATGAGCTCAGCAAATGTTTGCATGGTGGACTGGCATAGACTGTAAGCCAAGAGCAATATGGGGAAGGGAGCAGCACTGAGCCATGAAGAAACGCAAAGTACTTCATGTATGAGAGCCAACACAGCTGCAGGAACCATAAGGTACTATTCAGTTTAAGATCGTTCTGTTATGATATCATTTGAATAATTTCTTTTTCTTTTCTTTCTTTCTTTCTTTCTTTTCTTTTTTTTTTTTCTTTTTTTTTTTTTTTTGCCTGTGTATTTGGCTAAGGTTGGGAAAGAAAGGACAGGAATTCAGAAAGGGAATAATATCCACTCTTTGGCAAGTTGTTATTTTTTTTGTTTTTAAATCAGGTTTTTATACTTTAATCCTCTTTCTAAACATTTTTCTGTTGAACCACCTTTGGAAGAAAAATAAATACCTTGTTAGAAAAATGGCTGGGTGTTTTACTTAGTGCAAATGGCAAGTTAAAATGTTCCCCTTGGTTAAGCATGATATTCCACCAGATTAACGTCGGAAAGCATATACCATTTAAAAGTGCAAGAGGATTTTCTAAATGGCATTGTCAATGTTTCTAAATAAAAAAATACCTTTAGAAAGAGAGTAATATATTATCATAAGAATGATTTTTTCTTCTATATTGAGACAGACAGCAAATATAATCCAGAAGAAGAAAGAAAAAAGACTTCAGTACACATTTAGTGAGTAATAAATCTGCAGGTGAACTTCTTATTGATAATTGATGATTTTTTTTTTAGCTGAGACCATTGCTTCTACAAAAACTTAAAATGGAATATTATACTTTTAGAATTTTAAAAAGTTCTTCTATTCACAGTTATTTCACCCATAAATCTCAGCAGACTGTTGTTCATACTGTTACTACTCAGATATTTCTGATGACAAAAGCCTGAGTGATATCATCATCTATTTTATCTTGCAAATAGTTGTCTGATTCTGTCGATTTTACGGCCTCTGCCCTTCCTAGTTATTAAAGCCTTATAATTTCTGTTAGGTTTCGTTGTAACAGAAATGCAGGAAATAAAGTAATCACATTGATTCATAAGACTCACCCAGATCCTCAGTACTGAGCCGTAACGTGATTTTACATGAATCGTTATGCCCAGCACAGGTAATGGGCACAGTGCTCAGGATGGTCAAAATGTGCTCCTTGCCATCTTCTGCAATTTGTAATGATTCTGGTAAAAACTGAAAATAAGAAAATCGTTTTTAGATCATCTTGACAGATTAACAAGGTAATATGGATATTTTTGAAATTTCGAACGTTTCTGATCATGGGTCAAGATAATTGCTTTTAAAATAACAATAATCTCCATAATAACAATAATCTTCAAAATAACCATCTTCAACTTTCCAAAGGTAAAACTGTTGTTAAAATGTTTTAATACTCTTTGAATTTAAAAAAAACATATATCTTTCTGCTTATCATATATAGTGTGTAATTATTTCTCATTTCCTCATTTCAAAACAGGGTTTTATTAAGATTGAAAATAGTGCACTACCATAGAATTTGTTCATGTTTAACATCCTTAGTTGACAGGAGCTCCTACTGCTGTGCACTGAGAGAAATACCTGCAGTATTCATAGCCTGAAGTGCAGCATTACCTCTTGATTATGCACTCTGTATTTGTACTCTGTTCCAAGTGCAAAGTGAGTGCATTTTTCACCCAATTCCTCTTCCCTGCTATGGAGGAAGAAGGATTTCTCCATACATAATGTACTGCAGCTTCAGGGAGCTCAGGCTGGGTGGTTCCTGCATGTCTGTTCTCCTGGGGCAGGAGCAGATGCAGTACTTGGGCCCAGGCAGAAATGAGGATTCCCATTCCCTGTGAAATTTGGATATTGACAAGAAAACTTGCTACTGTTTATAGAATTAAAGAATCACAGAATAGTTTGAGTTGGAAGGGACTTCCAAACGCCATCTGATCCAGGTCCCCTGCCATGAACAGGGACACCTACAGCTCCATCAGGTGCTCAGAGCCCTGTCCAGCCTGACTTTGAACGTCTCCAAGGACAGGGTATCCACCACCTCTCTAGGCAACCTGTGCCTCACAGCCCTTAACTGTTCTTCCAGCATTACACAGAACAGGCTTTCAGATTTTCCAGATCTCATTTCTGGAATATTCAAATATCCGAATCTCCAGGATTGCCAGACTGACAGTCCCATCCTTGGACAGGATCAGACCCAGACCTTGTACTGACTGTGACTTACCCTCAGCAGTATGTTCTTTGTAGTGCCTGGCCGTAAGGGGGCAGTAGATAAAATGTCAAATATTTATTCATTTTGGTTCGATGTAGTTGGAATAAAATTCTGCAATTTGTAGGTGTAGCTTCCATTTATACATAACCACAGAGTACTTTGGGGCATGTTTACTAGCAGATGTAGTTGTGCACATTCTCTGTGCTGCATTAGTGTCAACGCCTGCATGCTTCTCTGATGAGTGCTCCAGTTGCAAATCTTCTGAAAGTCCCACAGTTTATTACGACTTTTTCTCAAAGTGAACCTAAAAGCAACATTGGTTATGGCCTATGTTTCTGTGCCTTGTTTTCCAGAGTATCTCAGATACTATATGAATATTACCCAGAGGTATCCTGGAGAAATCAGTGAACCATGGCCAATGGCATTACCTTAATCCCAGCGTAGAAACCTTTGCTCTGCTCAGGCAATGACCGCTGCTCAGGAGTGTCCCTTGCAAACGCAGTCACAGTGCAGAAGACCTGCATTAAACAAACAGTGTCAAAAGTATTTGCTTTTGTTGAATGAAAATAATATAACTATGTATATTCTTGTTCATCTGGGTTGTAGAGCTTCTTTTTTCTTTTTTTTTTTTTACCATTGAAAAAGATTTTGGAGGCTTAGGTGTTGAAAATATTTATGCATAAGCTTTGAGATCTGAAAGATTTTTTGATGTCTATAACAAGTAAAGAAACATAGCTTCCATCTCAAGAATTAATAACACTAAATATTAAAATACAATTTCTTTTTCAGTTATCCAAGCACCTCGTTAGGGTTTTAATATTAACTCATTTTAATTAGGGGAAGTTGCACTGTTTGTGGGTGTTATGGTCAAGTTTAGGACATTGGCCCTTGATCACTGAATCATAGAATTGTTTGAGTTGGAAGGGTTTCTTAAAGGTGATCTAGTCCTGCTGCTCTGCAATGAACAGAGACACCCACAGCTCCATCAGGTGCTCAGAGCCACGTCCAGCCTGACCTTGAGTGTCTCCAGGGATGGGACACCCTCTACTTCTCTGGGCAACCTATTCCACTGTTTCCACTACCCACATTACAAGAAACTCTTTCCTTATATCCAGGCTAAATCTTCCATTTTAGTGTGAAACTATTTCCCCTTGTCTTATCACAACAGACCCTGCTAAAGAGTCTCTCCCCTTCTTTCTTACAGCCCCCCTTTAGATACTGAAAGGCTGCTATCTGGTCTCCACATAACCTTCTCTTCTCCAGGCTGAACAGCCCCAGCTCTCTCTAGCTGTCTTCATAGAGAAGGTGTTCCATCCCTTGGATTCCAGGCTTCACTGTTTTTAAATGTTTTTTTAAAATATAAATTAATTTGACAGTCATCCAGACTCAGAAAAAACGTCAGCTTTCGTAGAAGAATTTGCTTTTTTCTTATTGCAATAAAAAGATGGTGCAGATGTACCTACGAGGTTTATAGTGTAAAAATAATAAAATAATTTCCCCAAAACAACAGCAAAAACAACCCCACCAAACACAATGTGCTGTGCCACGCCATTTATGTCTGATTCCTAGCACAGTCACGCAACCTTTATCTCTGCTGAGCCCATGCACCATCTGCCATCTTAATGTTTCATTGCTTTTACAAAACCCAAACTGCTAACATCATTTCTAGGATCATAAGATTAAGCTACAGAAATTTTCCTTGAAGCAAACTTACAGCAAGCTCTGAAACTGTAGCTCTCATTTTTAGGGGACCTTTTTTCTTGGAAATGGAATAAGAGCTTGTGTCACAATAAATCAATACCAAATGGTCAGATGGCATATTTACAGTTGCTGTCTCTCTGAAGCCTCGGGTGACCCATGAAGAAGCAGCAGACTGATGTGATTTACTTTCTGTGGTGAGGAGCTCCTTTGGACGGATTCAGAGGCTCTTCATGTTTCTCACTGGCCATCTCAGACACTACTTTCGTGGCTGGAGCCAGCAAAACCAATGTAAAGCCAAAACATTTCCAGATTCACATGACAGACTCTTTAGCAGGGTCTCTTGTGATAGGAAAAAGGGAAATAGTTTCAAAATAAAAGAGGGGAGATTTAGATGGGATATAGGGAAATAGTTTTTTATATTAAGGGTGGTGAGGCAGTGGCGTAGGTTGCCCAGAGAGGTGGTGGATGTCCCATCCCTGGAGGCACTCAAGGTCAGGCTGGATGGGGCTCTGAGCACCTGATGGAGCTGTGGATGTCTCTGTTCACTGCAGAGGAGTAGAAGTAGATCACTTTAAGGATCCCTTCCAACTCTAATGATTCGATGATTCTGTGATCCTGTGGACAGGGACTGCCCACTGCTCTGGAGTATTTCCTTTTCTGTAGAAAAAATCCCTCTTTGTTACCCCTCCAAGCTGGAAAAAAAGTGATGTAAGTCTCAGAAATGCCTTAAGGTTAGAATCCCTTAGATATCATGTTGTTAACCAGTTTGCCTCCAAAGGAGAAAGACGAATGTTCTCGTTCAGGTAATCATAAACAATAGCAAATATAAAATAATAATAAAAACGATAAAAATTGTATTAAAAAAAGAGAGAGAGAAGAACTCAGTAAGCAAATCCGACACACCCGCATTGCAGATGCTGTATTTACAGCTGCTGTGCTGTTTGTGCTTTTCTGCTTTTTACCCAGAATGTTCAAATGGAGTGACCTTGCTTCACACACAGCGGTGCTGGTGGGGGGCATCTGCCAGAAACCCCTGGGCAGTGGGTAGACCCAGCCCCATTCCCTGCACATACTGTGTATTCTCACATTGTAGAAGAGAGGTGTGTTTGATAAAAAATCTGCATCAAAAATAGCTCCGTAAAGATGTGCTGAGATATTATTAGACTGTCAGCTCGTTCTAGCTCTACGTACTGGAAGTGAGCAGAGCTCACCCAACTCTCAGTGTGCAGACACCCATCACGAGCTACATTTCATTCCTGTCTTTCTGTCGCGCCTCTGCTTGTAAAGCCTTTACCTCATGAGGTGCTCAACCAGCCCATGTGTTCGTTGGCTGCGGAGCTACAGGGTTGACAGTTTGTCACATCATTATTATAATAGTCACTGCGAGGGTTTTTTGTTTTTTTTTTTTTGCCTTCAGCTAAACACTCATTTTTCTTCAGCTCAGTAATCAACTTCTTCTTTCTCCTCTTTCCCTTCTCCATCTACGAATGCTGCTTTTTTAAAACAAAGAGATAAAAGCAGCACTGACAGCTGCATGCTGATGGCCAATGACATATTAGGCAGTAGCTTTCCACAAACTCATCAGATCTGTTAAAAAAAAAAAAAATCAAATAATATTTTTTTTCAACATCCCCTTTAAAGGGACAGAGTTTAAGGGTGCACTTGATAACTTGATCCCTGCCAGCTGTGGGCTGCTTCTTCTCTGTGTATCTTCCTATAGGGCAGAAAACTTATAGGCACAAATTCCTGCCAGAAAAATGCCTTAGCAGATAAGAAATGCCTTATTTCCTGTGCTTTGGAGCAGGTTTATGCCTTTAAGTGGACTCAGGTTTCTTCCTACTTCACAGTGAATCCTGTGAGCTGCATACTCGGTGGGAAGCAGAGTTCAGCCATTGATTTGGTGGAGGTCGGGTAGCTCTGGGAAATGATGGGAGAGTATTTTAATTCTGGAAGCTGTCACCATCTTTAGCAAATTTCCTCTTAATAACTTGCACATCATCATACTTTTTTCAAAGCTTCTTGAGTGTAAATTTCTTCCAAATTTGTCCTTTCTACTCATTTCAAAAAGAAAAAGACCCTTACTTTTCACTCTTTTCCACATCTCTAATTAGTTCTGAATGCATTGCAGGAATCATCTATGGGAGCTTGAGCATGCAGTGAGAGCTTCCTCCCAGGGTAGTGACACTTGTCCCCAAAATGAGGAGAGCTGCCAGGTTGGAGTACTGGGAGTGGATGGAAGCACGTTTCTGACCCAGACAGCCAGTCTTGTGAGAGGTGGGGAAACTGAAGCTGCTCAGGTTGGTAATTAACATTGGCCATCTGTGGAGAATTCACTTCTCAACATGAGGGATGAGCACTTGGGATACCTGTGCCCATTGACTGGACAGGGATGTCTGTGTGCTGCCAGAATGGAAGACTGAGACAATTTTCTCTATTAACTCCAGAACTGGAGCTGCACAGCCCATGTCAAAAGGCAGTCAAGGGGCAGCAAGATAGAGCCTCTCATGCACACTGATGGCTTGCAAGAGAAGGATTGGCAGGAAATTGATCTTGACAGGTGAAAGGGTGTCTGGTGATGGCTTGAAAGGCCTCCAAATGTCCTATTCTGCTCAATTTAACGCCAATGGGCCAGGGCTGGATGAGTGGTTCTACGGGGAGCAGCTGTGCTTCAAAGCCAGTAAGAGGAGAAAGGAGGAGCAGAGCTGAAGGTAAGTATTCCAAGGGGAGCAGTGAGATAGCTCCTTAGAAGCTCTGCTTGTCACTGCTTTACCCTCATTCCAAGCCCACCTGGAGCTCTGTTTCTGTGGAAATGCTCTTCACTCTCTGCCTGAAGATTCAGAAGTAAATTTTAAGAGGAGGTGTAACCTACAAAAAGGTAGTTTTTCCTATTTCTGTTGCTGTGCTATGTCCAATGGCTGGGATCGGTTTCATATTTAAGCACTGGGAAAATTCACTCCTTTTTTTCTCGAGTGTGAAAATTAGTTCTGTTCTACATCAAGGTACTCATTTATGGTCTTCTGGCTGGATTTTTGATGTGTTGCACGTTTTTGATGTATTGCAGTGTCCTACAAAATGCCCAGTCTGTTTAAGCAAATATTTAAGTAAAACACTTTTTTTTTTTTTTTTTTTTTTTTGCAATGACTATCATAGTTTATTGCCATCTCTGGAGGTTTTCGAGAAACCTGTTGGTGTGTCTCTGAGGGGCATGATTAGTAGTCATTTTGGGGATGGATCAGTAGTTGGACTAGGCGATCTTAGAGGTCTTTCCAACCTTAATGACTATATGACAGTTTATGTATGGTGAAAATTGCTCCTCATTGTGTGAACTTTGAGATTGCTGCGCTGAGCAAAATTGCACAGTTTTCTTCTAAACACCTTCCTTAGCACAACTCATTACTCACAGTGTGCCGCTATAATTTATAGATGGCTACGCCTCAAGGAATTAAATGACCTCTCTCACCATCGCATAAATAAGGCTTCAGAATGCCAGGATTTTTGTATCACATGGAGTAGGCTTCTTTCAGTGCCCAAATAGAAACAGCGGCGTGTTATAGATTTATTTAAAGCAGCAATAGTTTCATGAACGTTATGCTGCCAACATTACTGTCTGAAATAACAAAACTGGAGCCAAAAGATGGAGGAGAAATGCACACCTGACAGCTATTAAAAAACAACTGGCTGTTTAGTCAATGCAAATTCAGAAATGTTGGCTGGTAAATCTCTACTCTTCTTAAGGTTTGACTGAGTATTAAAATATATTGATAATATATGATTAACCCATTACCTGGGGACTTTCTGATAGATAAACTATAGCTTGAATATAAATCATTGCAAAAGTAATTTAAAAAAAAAAAAGGGAAAAATCCTTCCACTTACATGTTGTCTGCAACATCCTGGGCCCAAACCACATCTGAGCAGCAAAGTTTAGTTTTCGAGGTCTGCATCTCCCTATTTGTGGCATTACCATTCCTTCATGGTGGCCCTATCAGTAGTTATGGAGATGCTTCAGGTTTACACCTCTGGAAGTGAAAGGAGCATCCAGCCCTTTCTGACTGTTATCAGAAATTCTGGGTGGGATGGTAAATATGTACTTTTCTAAAATCCCTACTATCTAAAACTGAATTCCCAGCTTCAGCTGGGGCTTTGTTGTTTGGCTTTCAACAGTGATGATTTATGGCTAATTGTAATTAATCAAAAAGGCTGCAAATTTTGTTTAAAAAGAATAACTAAAAAAAGGAACATTTTAGCCTCATCAAACCAAACCATCAAACTAAATTAAACGTGTGGCTTTCAGGAGAGGACAAGAAGGGCTTACAGAAAACTTAATATAATAAAAATGATCTTATAAGGATTTGGTGATGAAACTAGTTAGTAAAACTATATTTTCTCTGAATCCCTCCGGATTGTTAAATCTAGATTTGAAGTGATTACACGTGAGATTGCTTTGATGAAAATATCTCTTTGTAACACAAACTTGTCTTGAAAACTGGCATAATTTTTTGCCCTGTGTTGTAATATAAGTGAAGGCTGCATCCGTCAGATTCCGAACTCAGGAGGCATAATTATGAGGAGGAATAAGAGAAAAACCTATCTAGATTGTGCCATGGTTATAAATGATTCATCTCTTCAAGAACTGCAAAAAGCTTATTCGTTAACTATATCAAAGAGGAGCTGTGAAATGTCAAGACTATTTCCAACCTACTTTTAACACACGGCCATTATCCCTGTTTATTCTTTCAGTTCATTGTAGCATCACTAATGGCTCTCTGCCTGTAAAAGTTATGAACCTAATTTAACTTTTAAAGTCTTTTTTAGTACCATGAAAGGCCGTGAATTCATACACAAGTCAATTTTTTCCACATCTTGTATTGGCTTCAGCTTTGTTGTTGTTGTTGACGCTAGATCTGTGTTGCCATGTAAGCCATCAAATACACTTCTTAAAGATTGTTTTGTAATGAATTCTATCTCTCAGCATACTATTGAACCACAAATTTGGAATCAGAGAGGCAGAACACCATGAAAAAGATCATAAAAATAAACCTCTATTTTAAAATGTACTGTCTTTCTCTTCTGTGAAAAGATGCTATTGTGTCTCTGGTCCACGAGTATAAAAATTACTGAGTGCATGTAACTGCATCTGTGTCTAGTGCAGATTCTTGCTGCTGCACAGTACAACAAACACTAAGATAGAACTGTCTCAGGCACATGTTTCTATTACTTGTACCAGCTTTATGGTGTTCAGGCTGTAATGGATGTGTAAGGCTACCATTAGAAAACAGTAAAATGGACAGCTTCAACAAACACCATGCAATCCGAAGAAATATGACGTGTCCTAAATCTGGCAAAAATTATATAAGCCTGTTTGAAATCAAGCTTTCATTCTGATATATTTTTTTTCACTTTAGATGTGAATGTAACGAGCGAGGAGCAGCCCTAGAATACACCCAGAGGGGCTTTCAGATGGGATTTGACCCTGCAGAGTGCCGGACCACGCGTTGCTGCATTACTGTGTCTCCCAGCTGGAGATGTCTGCTGCTTATCTCCAGGTAGGAACACGTCTGCAGGGTGGTGTCCTGATGGATCTGCTCCTGTTTGCCCGGGGCGACCAGACGTGACCAGAGCACCGTGTAGCTCAGCCCCCAGCTGGGTGAGCTGTAGGCGCATTTCAGGTGGGCGCGACCTCGCACGAGCTCAGAAGTTATCACTGGCTGTAAAGTCAGGCTTGGGAGTTTTTCTGAAAGGCAAAGCAGAAGGATTCAGGATAATAATAATAATATTAAACATTTTTAATATTAGAATCACTCACTCAACAGGAAGATTTCAATATAGCTAAATGTGAGAGAAATGCCACATTTATATTCTTGTGATTTGATAATTAGCTATGTAAACAAGACACAGTATTTCATATGAAGTTCAAAAGTAGCTATTTTGGTACTGATTGCCCATTGCTATAATGTTAGACGTGGGATATTGTTTTTTTTATTTTGCATTCAGAACAGCATTATTGAAATGAAGCACATGGGTTAATACAAATCAATTATTTCAGCAAAGGCTGCCAGCTTTGCATTCCCAGAAGCAGAACCTTCTGACCTGAGTTTTTCAGTAAGTTACAGAAGAGATATGAGAACAAATGATGTTGCAGAAGTGAACTCAAATAGCATCCAACTCATATCACTGTGCTGTGAGGATCCTTTCCAGGCTGTGCTGGGACATTCCTAGGATGAGCTTGCTCAGTATAGTCTCACTCTGCCCAGATTAATTCTACTCCTCTAAAAATACAGCCTATTTCTGTAGGCTTTGAAAGAGGATGAACTCCGATAGCTTTCTTCCTCTCAAGGAGAAATAAAAAGATATTTAATGCTGTAGGATGATGTTCTCTCATCTCCAGAGACTTGGACTCGAAGAGAACAAGTGCAGGGCCTTTGGAAGGATATTTTAAGAAACTTTTTTTGAAGGAGTATAGAGAATATTATGGAAGCACAAGGCAGTAAGGCGTGAGGCAGAATGGAGAACCGATGTATTAACACTTGTCCAGTGCTTAGTGGATTTCAGACAATGTGTCAACATCCCTCCAGAACTTCAGCCTTGGATTCTTTCCATCCATTGCACAATATTCTGAAAGCATCCTTAAATCAAGAAGCTAAAGAATTACTGAAATATATGGGGAAAAAAAAAAATAAAATAGAAAGCTTCAACACCGGTGGTAGAAAGTCATTGCTTTGGAATAGACAGGAGAGGAAAAACTATTTAATATTCTTTTTATGAAAGATGCAGGTGTATTAATGTTATTGAATAGGTATGGATTGGCAGAAAGTACAGAACTAATGACTGAAATGGTATTGGTAAAAAGTCTTCAAGCGTAGGAGAAAGCTCAGCTTCTCCAACTGAAAGCTTAATGAAAAATGAGGGTTTTCAGGTAAAAAAAAAAAAAAGTCATTTCTCAGAAAGAATCATGTAAATTAAAGAGCAGCTTCATTTACTTTAGTGCCACTATTTTAGTTTTCTTTTTTCAAAATAGTAAATTTATTTTTCTTTAAGCCTTTTTTTTTCCTCTGTCTTCTTTTCTCTTTGTGGGAACGATAAAATATTGATAAAGATAAGAACATAGTTATCTCTCTCTCTTTGGAATTTATTTAAACTTTTTTTCTAATTGAAAGGCGATAACCCTATTTTCTCAGTGTGTCATGTCTCTGTCCAAAAAATGCTGAAAGGGAATTACAATGGTAATTTTTCCTCTTTGAGGAAGAATCATCTTTTCTAACTAAATCTATATGCACCTGAACATGCACTGAAGTTCAGAAGGCTTAACAGAGTGTGCAATTGCTTTCTGCTATTTCCTTTGTTTCCTAGTTACGGAACAGAGGTTAGATCCCTTGTAGTAGGCTGAAAATTATTTCTGATGAGAATAATTACATATATGTCATGAAAAAGATTTTTATCAGAATATTTTTCCTCTCAGAGTTTCAGAATTATCTTTCTGGGTGATACTGGGTTATTTAAGATAAGAACAAGCCTTAGAAACTATTCTGCATCCAGTGCCTTGTTATAACCAAGATGCTTCCAATCACTGGCTGTGCATCTTCAAGCCAAAATGGAGTGAAATACAGAAGGAAAGGTAACAAGTGATCTGTAACCACATAAGCTATTCAGTAACACAAACCAGTTTCCATTGTGTGCTGGCAATAATACTTATACCTCGGGAGCACCTTGGAATGTGGCTGATTTATTTTCTACGTGGTCTGCATCTTACTGGGAGTGATGCTTGACTGCAAGGTCACTGAGATGTGTACTGCAGTACCAGGACTTTTGAACAGCAGCAAGAATAACAGAGACAGTCCTACTGATGAATGAAATTGATCCTCACCTTCTGCACAGTAGCCCATGCATCCTTGAGTCGGCTGCAAGAGATAAACAAAGAACTTGATGCAGTTCCTGACAGTGATGGGTATCCGGAACAAGCAGCAGTCTTTGGTGCCCCCGAAGACCTGCCAGGTACCACAGGCCATCAGGTGCTTGCTTTCACCTGGAGCAGGCAGGGATTCAGACCTCAGTGACAGCCACACCGGAGCTTGTGTCCCACATTTGTTCATCTGAGAATGTGCACAAAAGAAAGAGTTTGTCAGAAGCTGGTAGGACTGAATGGAGAGCCACCAAGGACTGTGATTGTAGGGAACCAGCAGGAGGCCACAGTGCTCAGGACATCCCAGCCAATGCTTTAGAATCTTAGAATTGTGAAGGTTGGAAGAGACCACTGAAAGCCCCAAGTCCAACCCCAGCCCACCCCCACCAAGCCTGCTAAACACGTCTTTCAATGCTGTGTTTCTGTATTTCTTGAACATCTCCAGGGCTGGTGACTCTACTATTTCTTTTGGTATCTTGTTTCAATATCTTGCCACTTTTTCTGAGAACAATTTTTTCCTAATATCCAACCTCAACCTTCTCTGCAGCAACTTAAGGTTGTTATTTCCTGTCCTGAGAGACCTTACTTCAGATCAGCCCAGCTGCTGTTGCCTTGACAGCTCTTGCCCTGCCTCCCAGGATGGCCCAGGCATGTCTTTGGGGCTAACCCTCTTCCTTGTCCTTGAAAGAAAACGGATGCAAGTGATGTATATAAATTGCTCAAATTTTCTGGGGTTTTTGACTTTCAGTTTTCTATAGTCTGATAGATTCAATCAAATCCATAGATTAGGTCCCTGAAGTCACTGAGTACTGCAACCAACCACAGCAGGAGGCTCACACATTGGAAAGGGCTGATCCTAAAATACTTAAAATTATGGCATTTTGGGTTGTGGCTAAGCACCCAATGTACTTTTCTGATCTTACAGAGGGATGTTCAGGCATCTCAGCCCTGACATGGGCTAAGGACATGTGATTACCCAAAGCTGTCTTTAATTTTACTACTTCAACGAGGAGTTTAGGCAAAATCCTCACCGGATAAAATATTCACAGTCAATTGCAGTTTGCTGCCTTGTTACTCTGTACTGTTACCCATCATTCACCGGTATGCAAAGCAGAGTGATATTTGAGTTAAGGTTTGCAAATTAAAACCAAACACCAGCAATAATCAATTCTCATATATTAGTCACATTCCACAGAGAGAGTGTCTGCTGCAGCTGCTTTGCATTTCCTCAGCCCGCGGTAGGGAGCAACGCTATATCTAATTGTTCAGCTTCAGCAACATGCTCCCTCCTGCTGTGGACATTTGGCTACAGATCACATTGGGAAAAAAAAAAGAACAAAAAAAAAAACACTAACATTTTTTTCCATTGGCCCAGCCAGCTTTGCTGCTTCACTTCTTAAGATTTTTTATTTTTATTTTTATGATAACTGTGGGAGCAGTTGAACTGGAAAGATCAGAAAACAAGCTCTTCCACCTGTTCATTTCTACCTTGACCTGAGTAAGTGACTTCAACATGTAGGTAGGCATGGTGCCTCAGTTTCCCCACCAGCTGCCCGACCTTGGGCAACCCCTTGCTGCTGATGTGCCTTTGTTCCTTATCTCTAAAACAGTGGTATAAGGGGTTGTTGGAATGTTGATAATGCTTTCCTGCAGCAGTACTGAGAAGACAAATTCATTAATGAGACTCGTATATCTACAGTGCTGTGGGCCATGTAGATAAATAGACAGATGCGAGTGCATTCTGGCTGCAAAATGCAATCTGTACCTAAAAGTGGGTCTGTTTCCCCTCTAAACACACAGGAAAAAAATAAAACAACAACAACAACAAAAATCCCTCTGAAATCAGAAGGCAGTGATTTTCTCCCTCATTGTATTTTATCCTTGCCATAAGTCTGTGAGCTGTTTCAATGCCTGAGAAAATATGGATTAGCCCTGCTGGAGCCAGCCCCCAGCATTGTGTGCAAGCTCTCCGATAAACCCCTGTTGTGATCCACAGCACCCTGGCTTTGTTCTGGCAAATCTCGTGCTGAAACCACCTGAGTGAAATTGTTTATTATGTAATATGCACAAATTACAAGATATGATGAATCCTTTTGACTGACTTTGTAACCAGGAAATGCAGACTGTGAGAAAACAGTAATTGGAACAAATTATATGATGCAGTGGCCAACAAAGAATTTTGGTATAGATCAAGAATGTGTGTTTTCCCAGCAGCTTTATGAGGCCAACAAGTTCACTTCCTGCTTTGAGGTGCACGCTGTCCACCTTAGTTGGGCAAATTGCCCCATGCTGGCCAAAAGGATTTGCTGTGCAAGGCCTCTGTGAACTAGGAAACAGAGCTGGGAAGACAAGGGCAATTGTATATTCATGTATTCAATGAGCAGCACAGATAAGAACAGAATAAAACAAAGGAAAAAAGGGAAAAATGTCTAGGAGGAGAGATTTCAAAGAGCCAAAATGTTCGGGTTCCAGCTGTGGCATAATTAGCAGTAAATGTTGAAGCAGTCATTTGGGAGAGTAAACAGAAAATTGAATACAGAGGTAGCAAAAGATTGGCATTTAAGGCATAGCTTTTACTTGCAATAACTACAGTCATTGCTGCTCTAAGAATAGAAAAAAGCCGTGG